ATATTTTTTTCATAGCATCGTCATTTGGATAATATGGTACCAAAATTTCACTGCAAAAGTCATTTAGATGAATCCATTGACCATTAATATTATGTTCACTTCTATCATATCCAAAGAGAATATGTGCCCTACCACAGACATATTCATTTCCAAAAGGTGATCCTTTAAGATCAAACCATCCATCAAAATGACTGCCAAATTTTATTTTGGTGAGATCAAATGAAACAGAACCTATAATAGTGTCTTTCTTTAAAGCTTTCTTTTCAAAGAAATAAATAACAACATTTCTTCGTTCAATACCTGGATTAAGTATGAATGATGACTTAGGATATGTCTGGTCTACACCTTTACTTTCTTTTGACTTTAATAATTTACCATTATTATCTATTACAGCACAAAGCAAGGTTTTTGGACTCTTTCCTTTTTTTGTTTTCATTCCAATAGTTTCTATAACATGAATACTAACAACTGGATTGGAACAATCATTAACACTAGCTTGACTAACACAAGGAATAGGTCTTTGAAATTCAAAAAATGTTTGCTTATTACAGAAATCAACGATATATCGTTGATTCTTGTAATAACCAAAGGTAAGTCCTGGTGGTAACAATTCAGATTCATAACATGGATATGGGACTTGGCTTGGTGTTCCATTTTCATTTTCATAAACTAATCTCTTAAAATGATCAACATACTTTCCATCTTCTAATCTAATTTTTTCAAATCCATTTACACAACGCTCTGGGAATCTTGGTGGTTTTAAATTATCTAATGGAGAAACTAATATCTTTTCTACGTTACTGGCTTGGTTTTCTTCAATTAATTGAGATGACATTGGTTTAGGAGCAAATATAGTTATTGGAATATATTCTCCTTCAACATGACCAGATGTGTTTACAGACTTATTAGTAATTCTAATATAATGACTATAACTATATGACTGATTGTTAAATGATGGAGATGTGGTCATTGGAATAACAAAACTGATTTGTTGTTGGAATGGTTCGTCAATACTCTTAACACAATAAGATAAAATACTATTAGAAAAACCACCGAAAAAGAAAGAATAATAACTGATCAGTTCAACCAATAACTCATCATTTTTACCTCCTGCAAGATTTTTAATAGAACAATTTAAAGTGATTGTCTCTCCAAGAGCAAAACATTGTTTTGGTAATGATACGGTAATATGTGTAGTTTTTAGTACTAAAGAAACTGTTTTGGGTAATGACAGTGGAACACCACCTAAATTAAAGATAACAGGACATGAAACATAACGACTTTGAACTGGTCCTTCTGAAGTATAAAGAATAGCATCAACAACATATCGAGCACGTAAGCCTTTAGGTCCAAAATAAGAGGCAGGTGGAAGGTCATGGGTAGAATAAAAGAAAATGGAAATTCATAAGTTCCTGGGGGTAATTCTAAACT